TTGGAGCTCAGGACTCTAAACACGGCCGGCTGGCCGCCGGGACAGCAAGGGCGGGATGTGCTAAGAGCTGGCGTCGCATGAGCACCCAGGTTAGGGTGCACGCCGAGGTCAGGGTGCAGGAGCAGAGGAGCAGAGTGGTCGGCCTGCCCCAACGTCTCTGCCACTTCGAGTCCCGCCAGCTCTGGCAGGCAGAGGACACGCACAGGGTACACGCTGGTCCCCTGGGTCCTGGACCCCTGGCCTCCGCAGCAACCAGGCTACAGGCCAGGGAAGATGGACACAGCTGTTCTCTCTCTCGCTGGCGGTGGGGGTGGGGGGCAGAGAGGAGAGCGAGGTGGGGTCTGCGAGGACCCGGCCAAGCGGCCGGACCCAGCTCACGCACTGGGAACGGCCGCGGAGCCAGCCCGACACTGCCAGCACCCGCCCGACACTGCCCAGCTGTCGCCCACACCCGCTGGGGACGGCCCTCAGGGGTCTGGGAGTCAAAACTGTGTCCGGGACTCCCCCGGACAAGGCCGCCCACTCGCTGCGTGACACAAAGCAGGGCGGGCAGCTGTAGGGTCAGTGAACCTTCTGCTGCCAAGTTCCCTCAAGAATGTCCTCGATAAAGCAGTCAAGATTCTTCCGTTAGATCAGTTCTCAGGCAGCCCAGCTGAGTCGTGATCATCTCACTGACTTGACACTGTCTGCCTTTCACCTGGAACGTCCAGCTTGTTAACGTTCAACGAGACTGCAGCAGAGGCTGCACCCGGTCTCTCTGTCTCTGGTTGGCCCTGTCTCTGTGTTCTTCCTGGCCTCCTTTCTTGACTTCCTTTGGGTTATTGGAGTATCGCTGGGAATTCCATTCAAATCTACTTTTTGACACAACACCGTTCGTGCTGCTCTGGGGACGACACCCGATGTCCCTGCTCTGCGGCATCTGCCGTCGGAGTGTCCTGTGTGGTGGGGCGGGGGCACGGCAGGGTGTGCCTGGGCCCCCAGGACACTGCTGCCACGACAGCACGAAGACTCAGGTTCCTCGCACTTGGGTACCAGGCAGGACACCGTCTCAAAAACGAACAGAGTGACGGTACTTGTGGCCAATGAGAAGATTTAAGCTTTCAAGCGGAAACCACAATCACGGTAACTTGTTTCCAACACCGTCAGCTGAACGGCTTCCTGCAACTTTTCTTCCCGAGACTTTTCTGAGCTCGATGCCAACAAACGTGACTTCTGGACACGGCCTGACAAAATGGCAACGTGCAGGACCAACCAACAGGCGAGAACGTAGCCGGAGTCAACCCCGCAGGACCCTGGAACGACCGCCTGGGCAGGTCGGGGCGGTATGAAGGCATCTCTGTGGTTACACACAACAGGTACCCCTGCCTCCGACAGCGTACCTGTCCGGGGCCAGGTTCCTTCACACGCTTCCCTGGACAACACGCACCACGGCCAAGAACGCGGAAGCCACAAACGCCCAGCTGCTTCTACCGAGACGCGCGGAAAAGTAAAGCGACGCTCCCCTGTCTGCGTGTATTGTTTTTAGAAAATACATCTTCCAGGGGCACCTGGGGCTCTGTTGGTTCGGCTTCCGACTTCGGCTCAGGTCATGTTCTCACGGTTCATGGGTTCAAGCCCTGCGTTGGGCTCTGTGCTGACAACTCAGAACCTGGAACCTGCTTTGGATTCGGGGTCTCCCTCTCTCTCTACGCCCTCCTCCGTGCCAGCTCTCTTTCTCAAAGAAAGACACTAAAGAAATAGACACTAAAAAAGTTTTAAAAAGAAGAAGAAAACCTACGTTTCAAAACCACACATTAATTATGTTAATATATGATGGATTTACAGTCATTCTAAACAAATTAATAGACACCTAAGATTTTTCTCCACTGTAACTTCTACCGCAGTAAGTTTCGAGGGCTGTAACCCACCCAGGAGGCCAGTCCACAGAGGCCCTGAGGCCGTGGCCCTGCCCCCCGCCCTCATGTGGCCAGCCCATGATTCGGCTGTGAGGAGCCGCGTCTACGCTCTGGGGACAGCCTTCACAATGCAGCACACGTGGTGGAGACTCCTACCTAAAACCGCATCCTGGACAGTGCTGTCCGGGTCATCGAGGTACACGAGGAGCTCTCTGTACAGGAACTGAATGTGGCTCTGGTAGCAGGACTTCACGTCGTCGTCGCTTCTGACACACGCCAGCCACGTGACCAAGGCGGAGGTGGCCGCGAGCCTCACTTCGTGGGAGACGTCGTCCAGACGCTTCAGGAGCTCTGGAGGGAGGGCCGGATGGGACAGTGAGACAGAGGCCGGCACAGACGGAGCACTGGAGCTTCCAGAGTGGGGACCTGACCCCACCCCTGGGGCACTCGTCCTCGGGCCATGGTAAACCCATCCTGTGGGGAGACTGGTGCTCGTGTGCCAGGGGCTGGGGGCGGCTCCCAGTGTGCCGGACCCCTTGACCGCACTGGCCACAGGGTGGACCCTGGGCCGGGTGGGAGGAGGGGTGGGCAGGCCTGAGCTGCTCTCCCTGTCTCACCTGCCAGGTGCCCCGGGCTCTCTGTGGCTCCAAGATGCTCTGTCTGTCACCATGGGCATCACACCCTGGCTGCCCGTCCCCTGGATGTACACACCGCCCTCCCAACTGGGCTCTAGGGACAGAGCTCGGGCCCCAGTGACATGATCACCACCACCTGTATCAGTGTTGTTTCTGCTGAGCTCTGAGCCAGACCACTCGGCTGCTGAAAACAGGAACCACCTCTCCAGTTAGTAGAAACTCACCATTCACCGCTGAGGTTTTTATCAAATGTATACTTTTCTCCCCCAAACTGTGAGAAATCCCTGGCCCTGTGGCCGGGTGTCTCTGGAGACTCAGCAGTCGCTCGGGCACTCCGTGAGCAGGGCAAGAGGTAGCCGGGGGTAGGGAGCAGGGCTGCAGCCCCAGGTGGTGGGAGGCCCGGCCCCCGGAAGTGAGCAGGCAGGGCTGTGGGCTCGTGGCACTGCGGCCTCCTGCCGGGCACTAGCTCATGGCAGAAGGGCTTTCCTAAGGGTCTGGGCCTCACCCAGTCCTGGGACGGCGGCCTGGTGGGCACACCACCACCCGAGTCCCGCAGGGACTCCTCCCATGTCCTCACTCCCTCCGGCTCAGGCCGACTCTGGCATGGCGTGTTTTCCTCTGACAGTAATTCCCGAGTTTTAAGAAGTGGCCTGGAAATTCACTTTTGTGATTGGGGTCAGCCGTCACGTGCAACTGTGGGCTTGGAACAAAGGGTGGCTCTCTTGGGACCCGTGCTGGGTGCACATGCATCCTCCATACGACAGACCTCGGGGCGTCCTGCCCTTTGCAAACACATCGCCACCCAGGGCCCTGAACTGGTCCCAAGAAAGGAGCCCGCAAGGAAATCCTTTTGCATGAAAACAACCCCCAAAGCCCAGATATGTGCAATCTTTTCGCTGGCTCTTTTTAGACGTGAGCAAAATCCCAACGGACTCTGACAGTCACCAACTGACTTGGCGCAAACAGAACTGTAAGGGTCGCTGGGAGGAATACGGTGTTTGTTGTCACAAAAGTAAACACAAAAAGTGAAAAGAAACTTGCAAGAACGCGTGAGAAAGGGGACTTCAACTCTGGATTTCAGCAGGAGGCTTCCTGCTCAGCATCAAGATGCACCACCTGCAGTTCCGGAATATTCTGAGCCACCACCTCTGCCGGTATCAGCCATCCATCCCTCCCCCCGGAGCTGGGAGCGCTGGAGCCCCTCTCCCCGCAGACGCGTGTCTTCCTCTCACGGCGTCCCGAGTGGACTCCGCTCACGAATCCCGTCCCCACCACGCTCCGTCTTGTGCACCCATTGGCTCCAGCTCTGAACTTCAGGGACTTTTCATTTCTGGGACTCCTGAAAACCACCTTTTAGGAATCACTACATCAGCTAAATGCTGCGGCACAGAGGACAGCCCAGTGTGGCTATGACGGGCCGTGGAGACCAGCCACAGGTGCGCCCACAGACGCTGCACGCCCCACCTGAGGCTGACCGCCCCCTCCTCCTCCTCCTCCACCTCCTCTACCTCCTCCTCCTCCACAGGACCCTCCCTCCAGTTGGCGTGCACAAGCCTAGAGCGTCTGCCGGGCTCCTTCTTATCTGCAGCTTCGTCCCGTTTCGTTTTTGTCTGAGCTCTGAGCTGGGCTCTAGAACATCTATCCCTGCAGTGTTGGGATCCTTGTTCTCCTCCTCAACGCGGCTTTCTCTGTGTTCTTAGGAATCCTCTGCGTTTGCTACTCTGCTCAGGGCCGGGGTGGGGGTTGTTCCTCTGCTTCTGATCTGGGACTCGCCCGGTGCTGGGGCTCCAAAGAGGCGGAGACGCGGGACGGAAGGCACGGCCGCCGCAGAAGCTCTTGCCGCGCCCGTCCTCGCACCCTGGCCTCGCACCCTGGCCTGGCCGCAGCGCCTGCTCTGGGGTGGGGGTGCGGGGCCCCACTGCCTGGGCACGGGCTGCCTGCCTCGCTCTCTTCAGTGACGGCTCACCGGTCACGGCTGCGTCTGGACTCCTGGCACCAGGCCGACCGGAAGTCCAAGTACCAGCTTCCATCTCCCTCTAGAAGAAACAGACCCACACGGTTTGGGAAAGAAAAGCATCGTACCAGGATAAACCTTGATGAGCTTATCGGCATCAGCCACACCACCGGAGGTCTTTAGAAATGTGTTGATGATTTGGCACGAAATTAATCGAGTCATCTGGGAATCTTCTTCCAGGGAGGTTAGAATCTGCGGCATCAGCGTCTCCTGAACTTTCCGGATCTGTAATCGGAAGACAGAGGAGGGTCCTGATCGGCTCTGTCCCGGAGGTGACAGCGCTGGTCCCTCACTGTGCACACGCTGCCCATGATGGAAGGAGCTTGGCTCTCGTACAGATATAAAGGAGTCTGGAATGTTTTTAAAATTTTTATGTGAGAACTCAAACCTTGATTTTAAAATCTAGATGACTTAGGGCGTCTGGGGGGCTCAGTCGGTTAAGCGTCTGACTTCGACTTCAGTTCATGTCACGATCTCGTGGTTTTCAAGTTCAAGCCCCACGTCAGGCTCTGTGCTGACAGCTCAGAGCCTGGAGCCTGCTTCTGATGCTGTGTCTCCCTCTCTCTCTGCCCCTCCCCTGCTCGCATTCTCTCTCTCTCTCTCAAAAATAAATAAACACTAAAAAAGAAATAAAACCTAGATGAACAGTTGAACAGTTTTGTTTAACTTGGTCAGTGGACAAGCCCATCACTCACAAAGCCGTGGAGACAAGCCTACAGCCTGCTCCTTGCTAGCGTGGCTGCATGTTGTGTCCATACAATTTGGGGGATGTTTTAACTCAAATCATGGTGGTTCACATTTGCAACAACGTGGATGGAACTAGACGTATCATGCTAAGCGAAATAAGGCAGTCAGAGAAAGACAAGTATCACACGATTTCACTCGTGTGGAATTTAAAAAACAAATGAACATAGAAGAAGGGAAGGAAAAATAAGATAAAAACAGAGAGGGAGGCAAACTGTAAGAGACTCTTAAATACAGAGAACAAACTGAGGGTTGCTGGCGGGGTGTTGGGTGGGGGGATGGGCTAAATGGGCGAGGGGACGTTAAGGAGGGCACTCGTTGGGACGAACACCGGGTGCGATACGTAAGTGATAAATCGCTAAGTTCTATTCCTGAAATTACTATTACGCTACATGTTAACTAACTTGGATTTAAGTTTAAATAAATTAATAAAACAAAACCTACTTAAAAAAAACTCATGGCGGTTCAGTGGACCAGGAGGTGGAGCTCACACACTAGATGAACACCTGGCCGGATGCCTGCAGACCTGGGGCCGAGCGCAGAGAAACAGCAAGGCCTTCGGACAGCTGCCCCTCGCCCCCCGTTTCCCTGATCCCGTTGCGCAGGTGGAGTAACAGTAGCGCAGAAACCCCGAGATCGGCCAAGCTCAGGTAGAGTTCTGTGCATATGTTCTCTGCTCCGTAAAGAGCCACGTTCAATACATACACCTAATGGCAGCCCCAGCTGATCAAAACAAAATGCTACGGGTCACGATGGCCGGTGGTACCCTGCCCTCGCCCGCGGCCCCCAGGCTCCCTCCCCTGTGGGTTTCAGAAAGCAGTGTTTGGCGGCTACACGTGTGTCCCCCCCCTCCCCCTGGCAGGTGTCCTTGGGAGCCCCACCTGCTCGTCCGACAGGACCTCACTGCTGATGAGTGCCCAGAGGCAGGACACGGCTGCCGTGCGGATGGCTGCAGCCGTCTTCCCTGCGTGCCACTGCAGATTAGGGACCAAGATGTCCTTCGTCACAGTGTCGAGGTAGTGGTGAAAGTGCCTGGGGTGGAGACACGAGATAGCAGGTGAAGGGGAGCGCGCGGGGCAGAGGGGAGCCGGAATAGGAGGACGGCTGCCTCCCTGGGGCGGACGCCCTCCCTGCAGGGGAGTGGGTGCCTGGGGGAGAGCCAGCGGCCTTCCCAGCTCCTGCTGGCCTCTGCTGGGCCTGCAGCCTCCAGAGCACCCCACCCCCCCTCTGCAGGGGTGAGGCTGTGGGGGGCCCCACCCATCTCTGCTGGGCTCTAAAAGAGGAGACGTGAGATCACCGGGCACATCAACCAGGCCAGCAACGTCATTTGCACATGTGGCCATCCTACGCACGCACACCCGACACCCCCCTGTGGGCACGCTCCCCTCCGCACCCAGGGCCCGAGCGCCACGGTCACAGAGACGTGGACGTTCCTGCCAGCAGTCTGGGCACTTGGTCTGGATGTAAACTCACACATCCCGCTGTGCCGGGCGGCTTGTGCTGCGGAGCCACTCTCTGAGCACCCCGTTGAGAGGCACCCAGAGAAA